AGGTTTTGTATTATCCGTTTAGTCTTTGTTTGTTAAATATCAGGACCTACAGTTAGCTAGAAGGACCTACAGTTTTAATTTGACATAGATCCTTCGGTGCCTGTTATGATTTTCAGTTAATTTCGAACACTGTTAGTATGGAATTACGAAATGTACATAAATTAACACATAACTCAATGATAATACATTTTAGTAATAAAAATAACATCAGAAATTTATTTTTTTAAGAATAATTTTTTATTTATAATTTTTATGGCTAATTGAAATAAACATTAAAATGTCTTTCATTTGATATATCACATGATGAATTTTTACAAAAATTTTCTGCACAAATACCAGCTTATTCAACCAATTGCACCATCATTTGCCTAAATATGCAAATTAGCTATGGTCATCCTGTTTTTTCAATACTAACATTGTTTTAACATTAGAGGACATCATCAACAACTTGTTTGCTAGGTGACTGTGTAAACCCATGTGCTTTACCCCTTGATACATTTTTCATACATTTTAATGAAAAAAAAAATTAAAAATGAACGTTTTTTTCTCTACCTCTAATATGATGTTAAGTAATATTGGATAAGATTAAAAAAGCGTCTGTTTTGATTTGTTTTCCCCCATGCCATAAGATGACAGAGCTATTTTTCGCCCATTGATTTCAGCATGTCTGTGAAAGGTTTACACTCTGCCATAAGATGACTGAACTATTTTTCACCCATTGATTTCAGCATGTCTGTGAAAGGTTTACACTCTGCCATAAGATGACTGAACTATTTTTCACCCATTGATTTCAGCATGTCTGTGAAAGGTTTACACTCTGCCATAAGATGACTGAACTATTTTTCGCCCATTGATTTCAGCATGTCTGTGAAAGGTTTACACTCTGCCATAAGATGACTGAACTATTTTTCACCCATTGATTTCAGCATGTCTGTGAAAGGTTTACACTCTGCCATAAGATGACTGAACTATTTTTCGCCCATTGATTTCAGCATGTCTGTGAAAGGTTTACACTCTGCCATAAGATGACTGAACTATTTTTCACCCATTGATTTCAGCAGGTCTGTGAAAGGTTTACACTCTGCCATAAGATGACTGAACTATTTTTCGCCCATTGATTTCAGCATGTCTGTGAAAGGTTTACACTCTGCCATAAGATGACTGAACTATTTTTCACCCATTGATTTCAGCATGTCTGTGAAAGGTTTCAGTAGGCAATGTGTTAAGCCTATTTGCTTATCAAAAGTGTCTTGTGCCACTTTGTGCACTGAATTGTGGGATAGCAATTTCAAATGGCTGGCGATATTACAAGATAGAAATGATGTTTGTAGTTTGACAACATGAATTAAAACCAAAAAAGATCCGGAGTTATGGGGGAACCAGAATTGGATAGCAAGCATAGCACTCTTTATATAGACAGACTTCAGTTATTTTGGTTATTTGACAAAAATTTTCATTGAAAACTATACGAAGACAACAACACTGGGGATGTCTGTGACCGAATATTTAATATATATTTGTTAACAACAACAGAAAAGGCAGCCATACTAGTATTAGAGACAATTTATGCGGAAAATCAAGTGTCACTTTGAGTTGGAGCACAAATCTTCAAAAATAACTTGTCAGTGTCAGTGGAAAAAATAGAAATCCTAGGAACGGAGATGATAGAAAACTGTGCAAATTATTTTTTTCTTCAATTCTTTTTTTTTTTTTTGATTAGATGTGTGTAGTTAAATATTTTTTTTTTTTTATGTAGACTCCCTCACCCCGAATTGCTATTGGTTACACCCTTACATGTAATTTAAAATGGCGGAATGGCAGAAGCAGAGCAGACATTTGCATTGGTGGATTATGGGTATTTGAATTCGCCTCTCAATCGACAGCTACTCATTACTAAATGTGATTGTATAGGTAATCTTACCGGTAGATCTGCAAAGTAAAGAAACACTGTAGAACAGTCTCCGGTTTATCGGACTAAAGGAAGAAGCAACATGATCGAAGTTTACTACGAGGTTAAATGTAGGGCATTGACTCCGCCCTCGGCGACGTATGTACTAAAAGTGTAACCAAACTCGGAAGTTGGTGGCGCTGTTCTACATCCCATATGACTTCATTGCATGCAATGATGCAATAAAATTGACATTACGTTTTTTGATACTTCTAAAAAACACTGAATCATTCTCACCTGGAATTGCAACAACCCCGAGGTATAGACCCCTGCTAAAAGCCAAATGTGCAGTCACCCAACACACAGTACGTCACATCTCAACAACATTTTCTAAGCGTGGGACAAAAAACAGGATCTGCACAAGATCCAATAACTGAGAATTACACATGTACCATACAATAGTACAATCGCTGCAACGAGCCAAGAATAATCACAGTGATTGACTGTTATATGTTGCAAATGTAAACTACATTACCGTTTATCTTCATCTTACTTGCAGAAAAAACATCAATTATCATGAGTGATGTGCAATAAATGACGTAGATGGATGTAGTTTACGAGGCGCGTTCAGAAAATACTTTCAGAAAACGAAACACAACCCTGAACCGAAACAATCAAAATTAATCATCGTGCTTGAAATTTAAAGGGTGTTGCGCCGCGTTCTGTTCGATATGGGACTCGTACACAACCCGTTTAAAATACATTGTTTGTTTGTTTGTTTGTTTGTTTGTTTGTTCGAACACGCACTGAGCGACGTCAACCGTAAACCCTGATTGTTCACACTTTTAGAAACTGGGTATGTTGTTCCTCTGTCTTCTGTTCTTCTATTCTCGCGTGAAAACAGCACACGACGATACACCATTGTTCAATGCGAAATATCCCCCCGCGCACTTTGACCTTTTTTCGTTTAACTGCCTAAGACTTTGTGTATGGAATTACGGAATTACGCTTTTTCAGTGCACACATGTTACTATTATCCACGTGTATCTTTTGCAAAGAAATTTCGCTTTCACAGCGTGCACAAGTTATCATTATCCACGGCCCTTGAGACATGTTTTACTTACATTAAATACATGTTCGACAAAAACGTGTGCGAGGAATTCATACACCAATTGCAGTGCAAGTCAGGTAGAAAATTAAAGCAGAGAACAAAGTTGTAATTTCACAGTTAGAGGAAACTTTCTGAAAAACTAATATAATTCAAACAAACATCTAAGGGTACACATGGATGACGTTTAAAATGGGCAGGACATCTTCACGAACATTATCTAATAATTTGAGTGAAAATGTGTAAAGTCGCTCGTTGGCTGCTTCTATATGGAGCAAAGTGTGACAAATTCGTGTTGTTGATATCACCAACCCAAAATTAAAATTGAACCTTTCATTCATAGATGCCAAATAGTATGTACAAATAAGTAGAAACCAAGGATGTTTCCTTAAAATGTACTGCAGTCTTAGCGCAGTGTAGTTATGCTACGAGTCCTAAAACAGAAATATACATTTTTTAAGCACTTACATCCCATAACCAGAAGTATAAATCTACGTCCACATAGAACAAGCCCAGTAATACACGTTTGATAAAAGCGCCCTCTGTCGACCGACAACTGGTAACTAATAATTTACGGTTATTCTCTTTCATCACAGTGAAATATGAAGAACACCGTCATATTTTATGTTCCAATTTATCAAACTTATTCCAAATAATACAGCCATTTTTACTCTCTACGCCAACCCAGAAACCAACATTCATTTAGTATTAGACTGTTCTTTTATGATACCCAGTTATCCAGTAATTTCTTTTTTTTTAATCAAGATCAAGACTGTAGACTGAACCAAATATCTATTTGGTTCACAATCTATAAAAATACATAAAAAATGTTTCACTAAAATTATAGCCCTCAAAGGGGTAAAGTTACCTTTCTATTTGTTGGCAATATTTAACAATTATGTAAAATAGTATATGGAATAAATATGGAAAGACTGGTTACCTTCTTCTTGTTTCATGGGTCTTCTCTACAACAGTCAGATTTTGCTCATTGACCATGCCAACGTATTTCAATGTGTGGATGTCTATTTCCTTGTCTCTGATTACCAACAAGTATACGAGTTGTGAAGAATATTTAAAAATTCATCCAGATTCCCAAATTTTTTTTTAATTTGTGTGCATTGAAAAATGATTATACATGCAGTGATGACAACGTGAGGTGACTACGTTTGCTCGTTTATCTTGAGGATGTTCACGCCAAATTGACAATTACCCCTCTGGTATGCGTAATATTCACAATACTTTCTTTATTAGGGGATTACGTTATCAGAACACAACTAATTTTTAAAAATTGGAGCCAACTGACAATTTTTGAGATTCAGTCCAAATTGTCATTGGAAATGGTGAAAATTAGCATTTTAACACTGGTTTCTATGGCGATTTTATTTTTTCAATTCTCAAAATTTTTCTTGGTGACATTGGATGAAAATCTCATATATCCTGATATTTTTTTTTAAACATTTCAAAAAATTTACATAGTATTCAGCAAGTTTTCAATACTGTAAAATACTTGATTGTAATACTTGAAATGTTTCAATGAAAATAAAACCCAGCAAATGTACTTTTTTTTCTATATTTTACATTAAACTCATCAAAAATCAGTGACAAAAATTAATCTCAGCCAATTATAGTATAATGGTTTACTAATACATTCAATAAGAAGTTATCTCCCATAATGCATTGCATATATGTGTAGTAACATGCTCAGTAGAGTAAAATTTGAATTTGGCTCAAACTGTCGCATAGTAACGGTATTTCAATATGCTACATGAATCTGGCTACTAAGGGGGAAGAAAATGTAGTAATACCATGTTAAAATCATTTTACCTTCAGCTCAATCCCTAAAACCACCAAAAATATAACAGTGCATCATTTCATTTAAATTCCATGAAAAAATTTTATTTTCAAGTATAGAAATCAAAATCACAATCCAATATAACTATAGATGTCTGAAAAATACAGATTGTGTAATAATAGATATATGTATAGAGTGATTGTCAATCAATCTTACTGTCGCTTCAGTCCTTTTGTTTTCCAAGCTGTCAATAGCATATTTGCAAAATAAAGTCCAAATGCATAAATCATCATCGTAATACCAAGTATCAAATATCGGATTCCAGCAGATGGCAAACCCAATATCACCTCTGCAGTTTCACCTGTATGAATGTATTTTATTGCATCTGGGTACAGTTTATATGCTCCCCAACAGGCGCCACCAACACCAAACACCATAGTTCCAATTGCATACATCATCAAATATGTCACTTTGTTTTTCGGCAGAGACAGGATTCCCAAGACTGATGGTACCAGACTGAGGAGCCAAAACTTTTCCCAAGACTTGAAGCATCCTTCTCCCTCTGCATGGACCACTTTCACTAAGTCTAAATGAGCAGCAACCACTCTCATCACTGTTGTCAGGCACATTACCATGGATACTATGATACAGAATTTCATCTTTGATTTATACAAGGCACTGCAGAAAGAAATAATATGAAATAATAATCAGAAACAGGCCTTGTCTTTAAGAATGGTTGGTGAGTTATAAATGCCTCAGGTGAGCAATACAATTTTCAGACCTATTATTTCAATTATGTCAATGCTTGTTTTAAGATCAACTGGACGAATGCAGCATCCCATTTTCTTTGTGAACTAACTTCTGCGGTACAATAATTTTATTTTTTTTCAAAAGAGAGAATCAACCTTCTTGGATTATTCATGGTAGAACTAGCAAATGAGGTCTATTAATTATGGTAATGTGGGTACAGACTTTGGTCTAATCAGCTTAAGGTAGAGATGCAGGTTCGTCGGCACTTTTTTTTTTGCTTTTTATTATCCTAACAGTCTTGGCTATAGACTGTTGAAATTTTGTAGAATTGTGAATAGTGGAACATACTCAAAAAACGATTTTAAAATATAGATAACAGGTGCAAACATTCTCTCTTTTGAATGCTTAGCAAGGTTTAGCAAGGCTGTACATAAATAATAAAAAAGAAACATGGTAAAAAAAAGAAATGACGGAATCTCCATATTATGCACTATATTTAACTTTTAACCAAACGATAATACATTTAAATTTGGAACTGTTACAGCGGCCCATTTTAATTATGAGCATTAGCAAACTTCTTACTGAGTGAATTGTTATGCAAATTAGCAATTATCTCAGCTTCTTTTTAGTGCACATCCCAGAACTTTAAGGTAGAGATGCAGTTTATTTGTGAATTTCAATCAAAAATAGTTTTTTTCGTTTTTTATATAGATTTTTATCTAAAGAACATTCTGTGAAAATTTGACCAATGAATTCTTATTGGAACACCATTAAAATTGCTGTTTATTTTCTGGTTAAAAATAAAAAACACTCACATGTGGCAATGTTTATGTCCAATTGCCTAATTTGCATGAGTAAGCAAATAACAGGACCTTTGATTGACAATATGCATATCGAGATTGTACGGGTCATAGTTCATTCAATTCACGCGCATGTGCAATTATTCTCGAATCAGTTATCGCTCGCTAGCAAACCAAACATTATATTTCCTCAGCGTTTTTTCCTAATTTTTATCATTACATTATGCGTGGTGTGAAAAGAAAGAGAGGTAGAAAGAAGATTCAGATGATTTCTATGTCGGAAGAGGCAAAAGCTACACTGAAGGCATCAGCCCGCCGAACGAAAAACAAAATCGATGTGAGCGTCCAAACGTGACTTTCCCTGAAGGCGTGAATCCGAGTTTCTGATTGACTGAGAGATTTTATTTTTAAATAATTGTTCTCAAAAAATAAACTGAGCATGTGAAGAATAATTTAACATTGTTTACAGTGATAACAGCTCATTGTCAAAACGCAGCTTAC